GCATTGAAAATGAATAGAACTCTCACCACTCTTGATCTCTCTGAGAACCAAATATCTGCTCTAGGAATTGAAGCACTGGCAGAGGCATTAAAAGTGAATAGAACTCTCACCACTCTTAGTCTTGGAGAGAACCAAATATTTGCTCGAGGAGGTGAAGCACTGGCAGAGGCATTAATAGTGAACAGAACTCTCACCACTCTTGATCTCTCTGGGAACCAAATATCTGCTCGAGGAGGTGAAGCACTAGTAGAGGCATTGAAAGTGAATAAAACTCTCACCACTCTTAATCTGCAAGACAACCAAATATCTATTCGAGGAGGTGAAGCACTGGTAGAAGTATTGAACAGTGTACGTGTGTTATACTGATGTTTTTACTTCGATATATTAAGTACTTTTTCGCTTTTTAAGTTGTTGATATTTTCTTATTTATTTATAAATTGTATGGATGAATTATTTAATTTATGAATTTATGAACTTTTACGTTAATTGCAGACGTTTGAAGTTTAAGAATTTAGGATAGAGAAGAGAAACACTGCATTTCTACAGGTTAAGATACAGGTTTTCTTTGTGACTCATATATGCATGTTGGTTAGCCAATGCTGTCCTTTTTAAATTTATACGTGCTAATGGCTGTATGTTTACGTATATGACTTTTTCTTCCCGTATGCGGGCATATATATTAACTGCTGTATTGCTTTTTTCTAAAAGCTCACAAAGTCATAAATTCTCCCACAGATAAACTGTTGACAAACTATCTCCATCTCCAGCGCACAACATCGCTCAGTCTCAAATTTAGAACTTTTACGTTCGCCGAACATCTCTGTTCACCAACAGCCTAGCAGCTTTAGTAATCGTTTTTTACGAAAATTTTAAGGATTTCTAACTCGAAATTTATTGGAATTTAAACTTAAAAAGTTTGCAGTTTTTCATTTAAAAACACTCCAAGTCAAGTTCACAAAGGTATCGGGAAATCTGACGCATAATCGTGTGCTGAACAACCTCCACTGCGGGGCTTTTGTTTGCAAAGCTCATCTGCGGTCGGAATCCGTGGCAAGGGCAAAATGTGGAAAAGTTATTTTCTCGATGACATCTTAATGAAAGTCCACTAAAACTTCAGAATATATACAGTTTAAGATAGTGTTTCGAACTGCGCACGAATCCAGGTTACAACTTATAACTTGAACTTTGAGAAAGGTTTTAGACATGCGGAAAAATCACGTATGCTTCACGAAAAAGTCTTTTCTTTTTTGGATTTAATTGATGATTTGATGTTTTTAATAACATGTTTAATAAAGGTGCAGGATCTAAATAATTTTTCATTGTTTCAAAAACAGATTATGCTGTGTGTAATAAAATTAGATATTCTTTTCTTATACATATATCCGCATTGTTTTTGCTATTGGGGAGAGTAGTTGGTTTTTGAAAGAACATAAATTAATTTTAAATTTTAAAATGAATTTAGTTTTATGTTGGCCTTTATAAAGGCTGACACAAATCTTCATTTTTGCAAAAACTGTATTTTAAAAACTTCCCCGAATAAAATTTTTTTTCCCTGACAATCGTCGGAGCAAACGGATGGATTCTGCACCTCTGCAGGTTGGTACACTCTTTTTTTCTAGCGATCAGTAGCATACGCAAACTTTCATAAAAGATATTCTATTCAGTTGTACTAGTTGTTCACTCTGCACAAAAGTAAAGGTTGTGAACTAACTCGTCCACAAAAAAGTTGATTTTTTTCCATCAAGCACGCGATTGGATATAAAAGCGCTGAGGGTGTCACTCTATCGACTGAATTTTCAACGTATTTTAGTGTCCTCAGCGCTATTCCTTATTAACCGTGCTTAGCCGGAGCCTGATCTCTGGCCCTCTGGATAAATACCCACGAAGAAGAAGCGATATCGACAAACTCTCATTTATATACGTCGTACAGCGACAAATTCAAACAGTACAAAACGTCTCATCATCAATGATGCCGAGTGAAACAGTTAATGATTTCTTCTACGTGAGACAAAGCCTGGCAGCTTAAAAGAACGTTCGTACTAGTATCAAGTGAGCTATGAAATCCGATTATCAACTCGAAAATTGACATGACATTTTTATATATGAATCTGATAGTGCGTTCAAATTTACGTATAAATCCTACTTTTTAAATCTTGGAGGATTCAAAGTGACCGAGTCTAGGAAAACCTCTGAGAAATTTGTTAGAAATCACAGTGTTTTGTATTCCGATTATTTCTTCTTCGTTCTCTATTCTACAATTTCAAGTATACATGAGTCGATTGAGCGAAAAAAATTGAACAAAATATAATCCCTTTGAAGTTTTTAAACAGAGCTGAACAAGTCCAGTCAAAAATGCCTCAAGTCCAAGTCAATTCAAGTCAAGTGGTCCAAAATTCGTTGGGGTGTGGCTTGACTTGACTTGAGAAATTTTTTTCAAGTTAAGTCATTTCTAGTAACAGATTTTCGTTTAAATTAGACTTTTTCTACCATGAAAGAGAATTTCTGAGGCTATAAAAACTCTCTCACCCAAAAGGTTATAGCAAATTTTATGTTCTACCTAATTTTAACCAGACTTGACTTGACTTGTGACTTGTCCAGCCCTACTTTTAAAGCTAAGCTCAGTACAGAAAAACGTCAAGTTTGTGAAAATTTTCAATTTTGAAAAACTTGCATTTGTAAACTTAAACTAAAAAGCTGATATTTTTCAGAACTGCCTGTCACATTGTCGGACAAATATTTTTCATCCAAATAAGACATTCTGAACTCGCCACGATACGATGCTCTAATCAAAAGTTATAAAAGTTTTACATAATTCACCTGAACTACAACTTGACCGGTGTATTGCCCATAAGACAACCAAATTGCGATAAGAAAGGTAAATAATAATACTTTATCGATCAAAAAAGAAACATGCTTTGCATAAAGTAAAAAAGAAAAAACAAACGACATCGCTAGTTTCACCAACTCAAAATGATCTGCTAGCAGTTTGTAATAAGCGATGGAAAAAGTACTGTCATACTATCTATACTGCAGTGAGTTATATCTATCACTGTGATGTCGGAAATTATGTATGGAAAATGATCAGCGATTTTCAAAAAGTCCATATATAAATTCCCTGAGATTCTAGAAAATCAAATTTACAAGAAACTTGGAAATTCGACCTGAAATTTCTATAAATAATTCCCAAGAAAACTCGAGTCGATTTCCTAGAAAATAGAAAATTAGGAATTTCCAGAAAACCAGAAAATTAATAGGTCATTTCTAAAAGTCAGAAAATTTCCGGCGATTTTCAAGATTGATTTTCTATAAATTAGAAATAAATTTCAAATTATAGTGATAGTACATTGTATCATAAAATAAACGGGCATATTAAACACAAATATTTCACGTGAATACTGAGACATCGTCCATGTTGCTATCGTTTGACACATCATTATTTGGTTTAAAGAATAGTTCTGTATATTCAGAACTATTCTTAATAGTTATATATAACGTTATATATATAACTTCTGAAATTAAACAGAATTATTTTGAACCGTATGGAATAAACCTATTACACTTTGTGACTGACATCACTATTATTTTATTTTAGATGTTAATAACTTTTGTACTTTTATTTTATATCGAAATTGTTAAAACTAGTACTATTTCAGAAACAAGTTCGATTGTCTTCACACGTGGTGAAAATGGTTATTATTGTATCAAAATTCCATCGATATTAGTAACAGTCACTGGAACTTTATTGGCATTTGGTGAAGCACGCATGTTTAGTTGTGGTGATTCTACGAAGACCGATCTTGTTTATAAACGAAGTATTGATAACGGGAGAACATGGTCTAATTTATCCATCCTCTACTCTACTAGTAACGATAAATATGATCGTGTTGGAAATGTTGCACCGATTCAATTAGAATACAAACAACGAATACTAATTCCGTTTTGTAAAAATAATTTAATACTGATGCAAACATACTCGGATGATGATGGTCAAACATTTATGAAACCAGAAATAATTCAGAATGTAACAAAATCAAATTGGAAATGGATTGGATTCGGACCACCAAGTGGAATTTTATTAAAATCAAATCGAATATTAATACCATCTTACTATTCCACCCATTTAAATGATAATGGCTTATTATCCACTGGTATCGTTATGTTGAACGATTTTAATGGCCAAATTGATAAATGGTTTATTGGTGGCGAATTTTCTGCCAATGATGAACTATTTCCAAACATCTTTCCAAATGAATGTCAAGCAGTTGAACTATCAAAACCAAATTCTATTTTTATAAATGCACGTTCGTTCGGTACTAAACGTATTGGAGTGTACAGCCTTGATGGTGGCATAACATTTTCAAAAGTGAATCTAATAAATAATTTAGTTCAACCATTGACAGGATGTCAGGGATCAATGATTAGACATCCAAGAACAAATGAATTATTTTATAGTGGTTTGGCCGATATAAATATTATTCGCAGAAATCTCACTTTATATAAGAGCAATGATAACGGTTTGAATTGGACATTTTTGAAATTAATTTATGAACAATCGTCAGCTTATTCGTCATTAACAATCTTGCCTGATCAAAGTATTGGTTTGCTGTACGAATGGGCAAATAAAACTGATCTAATATTTCAACCAGATTATATCACGTTTACAGTGGTCTGGAGGCCGTAGTTTCCGAATATCGTGTGTTTGCCTCTTGGAGAAACTCTGTTCCATTCCTATTCATTTGAGTAGATGTCATGTGTATGTACGCGCCATAAAAGATGACGCTATTTGGACGATTTAATATCTCAGCCAGCATAAGATTTTGGAAATTCTTGAATAATCAGATTGTCGATCAACAAAAAGTAACAAGTAATAGCTCATAAATAGCCTGCTAACAGCATGACAAAAAAATGAATAAACTTTTAATCTACTAAAAACTGTTAAACAGCAGCCCTTTAACAATTAACGTTTTTTGTCCGTTATTTCATCGTGAATCATGACCTAAAAACAGGCATTCACCGGTATGCACTTAAAGTAAAATTCATATCGACCGTCAACTACCGTTAGCATTTTATTTTGGAACAGATAAAATGTCAAAAATAAAACTAACATTTAACATTGGTAATTAAATGTCAGTCTTAAACTATTTGTCAACAAATTCATCCTTTTGTTTCGCTGTTATGACCAGTATAAATATGATGCTGATTCTTTTGAGAAAACTTATATTAGAATTTTTCTCTTCTTTGATTACATAATTGATCGAAACTTGTCGCGAGGGATGTATCTCCTAGTCCTGAGACTGATACTAGTGGTACCACCCAAAAAAACTCGGTCTGCAAAAATCTTTGCAGAATCTGTAAAGATTCTGCAATCTGCAGTTTTTCTGCAATGCAGATGTGCCAAGATTTGGCCAAAGATCTGATGCAGATCTGCAATAAAATC